ACGCACTTGCTTTTGTTTTTATGTAAATTTAAAGACTTGTTACCGTGGTAACCAAGTAATTGCTACGTGACAGGCACATCACGGATGTCACGATTTGTCATCATATTCTAGCTTGCGTTTCCAGTCCCTGTCTTCTGGATTGTCTATGGTATAAGAAACATTATTTTAAGCTCCTTCAACACTTTCTTCATGATGTGTAAAATCATCTGACATTAGGCAGAATGAAATAACAAAATAGGGTGCAATATATGCCATTAGCAGTGGACTCAAAATATAGTGGACCATGGGACCACTGGCCCCAGAAACGTTTTGAGGTTGGCAAAAAAAATGGATGGTAAAATTGTAGAAGGTAAAGGAAAGAAAGTGTATTTTACTAATTTTAGTGACAATCATACTTTACTTAGTTTACTGTAGATCATATAGACAGAAATACATACAGTAAGGGCTAATTTGTAACATTAAAGAATATTTATTCGGTAGCCATGTTAGAATTGCGATAAAATTTTCAAAACCGTTTATAAGATTTGCTGTTGTTGGCCTTGCCGTCCCAGAAAATAAAATGTTTTTGCAGCCCTGGTTAATATTGTGGATATTGATATGGAAATTTACTTAATTTATTTGTGAATGTATAATTTTATCACAGGTGAATGAAAATGCAACTACTAGTGCAGCAAATGTTATTTCAAATGAAGAGCGAGACAAATTTTTGGAAGTGATTAAAGAAAACGAGAAGGTCGTGTTGGAGCATGCAGCAAAGGTCCAGGAAATGCTGACGAAAAATGAAAATTTAACCAAGCAAATGACAGAGTTGTCAGCTGAAGTAGCAAAAACAAACAAAGGGAAACAAAAAATTGAATCTGAATTGAGTGAAACAGCAAAGAGGTGTGCTGATTTCCAAAAGAAATGCGCTGGCTTTTTCAACCAAGTTGTGAGTTTGAATTCAAAGCAACAAGAATCTGAGGAGGAGATTTCTTCATTGAAACAAGCATGTGAAAACCTACGTGCACAAGTTGCTGAGAAAGAAACCATGATGGTCAGGATGAGAGATGCTGTAAGTAAAACATAGTTGAGTTAAGAATTCTGAAATTACAGACTATTAAACTTCAAAAGTTATGGGAGTCACTTTGTTAACAGTTTCCAGACCCCTCCATAAATAAAATTTACGCAAAAATATCAATATTTTAGCATATTTTGTCTCTTGGCAGTTAAAGATGTATGAGGATGATTTGCAACATGTAAATGAGGAGAAAGCAGGCATGGAGGAACGACTGGATACATTACAACAAGAAAATGCCCGCTTGGGACGTGAAAATCAAGCACATGTGGAAACAATACGTCATTTTGAAGTAAGGAATACTTATAAGTGAGTTTTACTATAAACACTATGGTATAGCAGATGATGTTCAACCAGTGCTTTTCCAGTTAGTTGTTCTGGAAAGTTTTGATTGTGTCTACAGACAAAGACACACAATGACAGATGGTCTGTGTTACGGTTGATCCATTTTGACCGATTTATTTTCAGTATAACTTGAGCGAATAAGTACAAATGAACAAGTTAAACATATTACTTAAATAGAAAATTAGTCTTATAAATTCTTGATTTTTAGATCAAGCGCATTATTATTTTTTAATATATATATAAGCATGAAATGTTTTCATTGCAGAATGGAGCTTTACAGCCAATTGTGGTAGCAGATGGTGCCGGCCATGTTGATGTAAGTTGTAAAGTTTCTACCTTTCTTTTATGTTTTCACGTGGGTTTGTGTCACCACAATAACATTTTGGTTCGGTTTGGTTGAAAATTGGATGATTAAGTTACAGTAAGATGAAGTAAGGAATAATTTATATATAAGTGAGTTACTTTATAAAAATTATTATTCATTACCTTATTTGTGTTTTTCAATATAGTATTATATTTACGACGATCAAGATTTTGCTGGAATGTCACTCGATTAAATAGTAGTATTGTGGATGGATATTATATACATTTATTAGACTAACCAGTGAAAAATGCAACTTTTTACGTCCCTGGCAGGAACTGAAACTGCGCCTGCCCATGAATACCAAAAAAAATCACTTTGTCACGTGGTACAAATACTGTTTCTTGATTAGACAATTTGAATTTGAGGCCGGTATAATATTTACATATAACCTAGTACGGCATATATATATTAGAGCTCGACAACTGGCCTCTGTAACTCAGTTGGTTAGAGCGCTGCACCGGAATCACACTGGCCACATGTTCGATTCCTGTCAGGGACCTATAGTTGTATTTTTCAGGTAGTTAGGGACTGATTCCCCAACTACCTATTATTTTGACATCGTTCCATCACCCGCTCCTTTCAATTGTTGGGCCTCTTTTAGCTTCTTTGGTGTGTTATTGGATAATTGAAAGGAGAGGGAGAGGGAGACAAATATGTTTTTAATAATTTGCATATATCTACTGATGATTTTGAACTGCAAGTGTCGTAACAACTTTTGAAATGATTGTGGAATATGCAGCTATTTGGATCAAATGCTACAAGGAGCTTTTTTCAAGTAAGTTTCACCTTTCTTTTATGTTTTACATCCCTTGGTAGCGAATCAAACCATACAGTTAGCCGCTTGGCATGTATGCAGCAATCTTTGTAGACTTTCCCCAAGTTGACTTCTGCTAATACTAAGTTGAATCGCGTATTAATTGAAGTGGCCACGTACTAACGACGAAGTCGCGAAGCCCTGTCGCGACGGACTTCTACAGAAAGTCTACAATCTTTGCAGTCAAAAGGCATTTCAAGCAACGTTTCCAAGCTCATCTTGGCAGCCTGGAGGCCAGGCACAAACTCAGTTTATAACTCCGCCTAGAAAAATTGCAAAATATGACCATCCTGGGCAGTGCAGGTTTTAAAAGACATTCCACGAGGGCAGCTTCAACCTCTAAAGCAAGAGCTGGTGAGGTTTCCCTTGAGGAGGTTCTAAAGAAGGTTGACTGGTCGGGACCTTCCTCTTTTATACGTTTCTATTATCACCCTTCTTATTCAAAAGACTTTGCTACAGCAGTTTTATCAAGCGGACAGTAGTTTGGGGTTTTTCAGCTTTAAACAAAAACAAGCATTGTTATATCGAAGCTTCTATGCTTGAAATATAATTGAGGATTTTGCAATGGCGCGAAGCACCCGCAGTAAAGTCGAGATTAGAGAGTTTGAGCAAGAAAACGAAGTCTGACGACAACGACGTGGTTGACAATTTTTGCCTGTCTTGTACTGTACATTATCTTGCACGTTCTGAGTTTAGGGTCAGATTAAAGACAGATTAGAGATTCATGTCTAGCTGTTTGTGAATGCTGACTCAAATCCTTACCCTGATCAGGATAAAACAGCGAGACATGAATCCATATCCCGTCTTCGTTCACAACGAATATTTTGGCAAAATTTGTTGTGAACTTCGTTCTGCACGAAGGCACAACGACAAAGACGGGATATAGTTTCATGTGTCGCTGTTTTTTTTTCTGGATCAGGGCAAGAATTATGGTCAGTATTCATAAACAGCGACACATGGGAAGACACGTTGTGCAACCACCAGTGCCGTCCAACTTCCAGGTGATCTCGTGTTCGTATTTTAGCCAATCAGCGCTCAAAAAGGGTTGTCCGAATAGAAATCCATTTTGATGTATTCAGTCAATTATATCTCTCGTTATTCTTTATGAAACTAGTTGAAATTTTGTAATTATGTTTGGTTATGAGAACTCTAGCTCTGACAAAAATATGGAATCGAAATAAAGTATATTACAGGAGATATTCAGTTGTTTTAATCGTAAAATGGATTTCTATTTGACAACTAGTGCCAGTACTTTTCCGCGTATCAAGATCATCTTGGTTAGTATGCGCAAGATAATGTGCAGGCGGCAAAAATTGTCAAGTATGTCTTCGTACTTCGTTGTCTTGCTCAAACTCGCTAATGTATGCGAGAACACAGAAGTAAGATATAACAATCCCACCCGCTCGGCCTCTTGCTACTATGTTCTTTTATTTGTTTACTAGATTTCATTTGAATCGTTGTGTTTGATTGGACTCGTCAGAGATGATAACTTGATGTATTGCAGTGCTTGTAACAGTTACAGTTTATT